TTTCCTTCTGTTTCAGTAGGATGTGGAACTTCTCAGAGATAAAGGTGCAGGGTGAAGGCTGGGGGCTACTTTTCATCTGACAGCAATAAGCACATTTTGCTTTGTTTGATTGTCAAAATTTTGCCTGAAACACTTAATTTATAAAGCACAGCAAACAAGCTGAACCATTTCTCCTGACATCTCAGGAGCAGAACACATCCAGAGCACACACATGCCTTGGTCTAGGCAGTGTGTGTTCTGGCTGCTTCTCAAGCTCCCAGCTCTGACCAGGACAGAAGACTCCATAGGCAGTTGGGAAAAGACCCTGGCTCTAGGCTCCCAAGCCTTTGTGTTGCCTGAACAGCCTGTTCTGAGGTCCAGGGAAGCCCAAATTGATGCTTGGATACTCTGGATCACAGTAATAGGAGTAGTAGCTCACTGCCACCACCACAGCATTCAGATTTGCCTGACTTTACTCCATTTCAGTCAGCTGTTTTCAGATGCCTTTAGCCAGGCACGACAGATCCAATTTCCAAGCTCTGGGGCAGAAAAGCTAGCCAGGTTGAAAATGTCATGTCACTTGTATTCATCTTATTCCTTTAATGAATAACGTGGTTGATTAATACTAAGATAATCACAGTGCACTTCCAATTACCTTCTGTGAACAACAATCTGTTTTTCATTTCATTACTGATTATTAATTACTTTATTACCTCCTGTAGCTGTGCTAATAAGTAATCATACTTAAGCATATTTAAATGTTTTAGAAAGTGAAACATCTTTAGCCCTTTATTTGCTTCATGTCAGCTCTTTAGCAGGAAAAGTTCACCTTCTGTGCAGGGGGTACACGTTAACGTGGTTCTAATGTCTGCAGAATCAGTTGCTGAGTTAAAGATCATAACACCTTCTCCCATAAAATACTATGAATATGGTCTGATCAGTGGTTTAGTCTGATCTGGAGTCTGAAGACATTTAGGCCTCCTTCTAGCAGCAAGTTAATTTTTGTAATTGCTGGCATTATTACAAGGCTGCCAGCCTGGCTCTGATGTTATTGAAGAGGGGTTTAAAGATTGCACAGAAATCTGCTTTTAGTGTCCCTCTGAAAATCACTGTGGAAAATTAATTTCCTAAGGTAACCAGAAATATCCATGGTGATTGTAGACATATTTGAAATGGAAGTACAGCATTGAAAGCTAAAGCCCTGGGAATATCTCTGCAGAGCAGACTGGGTGAATCTGGCCTTTGCAGCTCCCAGGGCTACCCAGCGGTGCTGCCTGCTACCAGTTCTCAGGCTAGGGTGGGGAGATAGACAGGTCCTGCTGGCCGTGCACTCCCCCTTTCTGCTGATGTGGTTCCCTCATAGATACACGCATGACTGTGCCAAGCACCCCTGGGAAATACCTGGATGAGCCTTACCTTGTGTTTCAGTTGCTTTTGAATAGAAAATGAGAGCCAAAAGCACACCTTGTTCTGAGTTTAGATATGAGTCCCACCATGAGTCATCACTGTGTCTAGTGCTGGCTCTGGGTGTAATTGCAGTGGACACCCATGGAGTACAGGAGTGCTGGGACAAGTAGGGTGCCTGATGTCTTCATATGAATAGATTTCATTAGTAGCCTTCTTCTTGTAGATCTGGACTGCTATGTATGATATGGTCTACAGTGCAGCTGGCCTCAGGTCCCAGCCAGCAGCAGGTCCCAGAGTGGGGGCAATACCTATCATGACTTCCTAGGTCTGTCTTCCTGTCCACTCATCTTCATTAACATCTGAACTGTCTGTCTCCAGCATTTTCCATCATTCTTCAGTACATCACATCTGACCCATAAGGGCCATTTGCCATTTGCTCTGCAGGCTGTTGTCTCTGCAGCATGGACAGCAAGGCTGTCCCTGGGGCTTTGTGGGAGGGGTGCACTCACCTCCCGTGATTTGCAGCACCCCTTAGGTATGAAGACAAGATGAAAGGCTTCCCTCTGCCCTATAGTGTGAGCATTCCTGAAATCCAGGGCTTGTGCAAGTGCCTTCTATCTGTTTCATATCTTACCTGGTTAGGTCATAAGATGCTCTAAAGCATTCTGGAAGCATACTGAACATCATGATGTTAAATTGTAAGGTGTTCCTGTGAGGAACTCAAGGCACTGAGGCAGTGTATGATATGGTGCAAAAATACTGTGATGTTGTCTCCTGTATTCTTAAAGCACTGGCTTTCTGCCACTAAAAAAAAAAAATATCAACCTGTAATCTTCTGTGCTGTCTCCCCTCACCTGACCCAGGGTGACCACACGAAGTGTCATTCTTTTCTAAAGAGTATATTCCTAAATTGGCTTTCCACATCTGGATCTTACATACAACTAAAGTCACTGCCCAGTTGGGACAGAAAACAAGGAGTCTGCACAGTCTGAGCCTGCATTCCCTCACACAGACCTGGCAACACTCAGCCAGGCACAGAGTCACCCAGCTGGGACAGCTGCTGTTCAGGTGCAGCTGCACATGCTCTAATGCAAGGGGCTGCTAAGGAGATACAAACCCAGTTATGTGGCTTCAGTTATTTGACTTGCAGCAGAACCTAGCTGCCAGCCCAGGACCTCTGTGCTACATGCTGCATGCCAGCCACAGGGTGGCTGGTCCACCATAATCCAGCATGTTCTTATGGTCCAGCAGCCCTCAAGTGGCAGTAGTCATGGGGTCTGGCCATATTCTCACCACACCTTCCTTCCCTTTCACAATGCCTTCTCGATTCTCACACTTTTTTCCATCTTCTCATATGGACAAGCAGGTAAACTCAGAGGACAAAATATTCTCCATGCAATTTTCAGTCACTTCATCTCTATTATGTTTTTTTCCTTCCACCTTCCCTAGAAAAAAGAGCCAGTGGCACTAGCGAAGAAAACCAACAACACCTACAACATTGTTGGCACCACATATGCCCTCAACATTGCCAAGGACCCTGGTCTGCCCACCATCTCCAAGAGTGCTGCTGCCACTGCTACTGCCACCAACGTCCCCCCGAAGCTGCCCCGCATAGAGGAGAAGCTTGCAGAGAGTAAGAAGACATACAACAGCGTCAGCAAGGTAGACAAGATGTCCCGCATCGTCTTTCCAGTCCTCTTTGCCATTTTCAACTTAGTCTACTGGGCCACATACGTAAACCGGGAGTCAGCTATCAAGGGAATGATCCCCAAACAATAAAACCAGTCACACAAACCTTCCATCAGTGAGCATTATCCAAGCAGGAATTCTCCAGGGCTTTCTTCTTTTCTTGTTTTGTTGAATTATTATTGTTCATTTGATATTATTATTATTATTACTATTAGATCACTTTTATAATGTAAAGAAAACTGTGATTTTAGTTTAATCCCATATACTTTAGTTTCATTTACTTTGTCTCTGATGATGAAAGTTTTTTTAAAAAAAGGGATCATAACAAGTTGTGCCTCTAACATCGTAAGTCTGCTGTCCCCCATCTGACCAAGTCACCCTGTGCTTCCACCTCTCCTCTGCCACCTCCTGTGGTCCCCACAGTCTGCATGCCACTGCCATTCCACACTGCTGCCCCCAGGGGCTGCTGCTCTGGGCCACCCCCCACCTCCTCCTCTCCTGTGATAGACTGCCCAAGCATGGGGGATGCTCCAGAATGTGTCAGTCACTCAGCTGGGCTCCTCTTCAGTGCCTGGCAGTTTGTGCTAGGTACACGTGGGCTGTGAATGCAGGTGAGCTGGTCACCTGTGGGACCAGGAGAGCCCTGGGAGATGAGGGCACATCATGGCATGGGCCAGCTTGTCACCCAGTGCCTGCTGGGGGTAAACCTACCACTGCTGTGGTCCCTGGAGCCATTGCAGGGGTGGAACAGGGTGACAGCATCTTGTAGGTATCTACAGGTCTTGTTCTTCTCTGTCTTCACCAAACCCAGTTGCTGGTTTCCTCCATGTCTCTCTCCAGACAAGAACAGGTGAGAAAGCTCTTGTCTGTCTGCCGTCCTGCATTCTTGGGGCAATTCTGTTGGCAGGTGGTGTGGTTCCTACCAGAGAAAGATTTTTTTTTTCTCAGGGTCAGGAATTAAAGACAGGAGGTTTATAAAGCCTAGGAGGAGATAGTAGCTGAGGTTGCATGCATTCAGCAGCAGGACTGGAAACCACAGAGTTCATTTTCAGATCGGTGGTTTATCACTTTCTCACAGTTCCATCCACTTATCCTTCCTGGCATCTTCTCTCTGTTCCAACCTATTCTTCCAGATTCCCATTCACCTTCCTTTGACTTCTCAGCATCCCCCAGTAGTATTTCACTGCTCACACACGGATTTAGGCAGAGAAGCCCCTACCTCTCAGGTAAGCCACACTGATGGAGATGAGCACAGCCTATTTTTTTCCTGCTCCAGTGCACTGGAGCAGCAACCAAGTTGGTTCACACCTGCTCAGGTGCAGGATGTTCCCTGTGGGACCCCCCACGGGCCATTCTGCCACATGTGGGGATGAGAGAGGGGACAGTTGGTCCCCAAGAATCTCCCTGCCCTGGTGAACAGATGCAGCCAAGCATCCTCAGCCCCATGGGAAAACAGCAGAAGGGGCTCCTGGGTGATACTGCTGTCCTGGAGAGCCATGTGAGCCAGGTGCCTTCCCACAAAGCCATTGAGGTAAGACCCAACTCTAACACCTGCATAATCTTCCAAGTGAAGCCCTCCAGTACCTTGGAGAGAGGCTTTTTCTCCCTTCCTGACCACCATAGTCGAGGACTCAAAGCAACCGGCTGGCCTCTTTCCAGCTGCAGCACAACATGGCATCCAAGCCATCTATCCCCCGTCCTTGGTGCCTGAACCCATAGGCACACTGTCCTGCTACAAGGAAGGACATCCCGTGCCTGATGATTTCTTGTCCCAAGCCTATGGGCAGCACTGATCCTGCCAGAAGGCCTGCTCCCGTGGTGGGATGCACCCTCCTCTTTCTTAGGCCTCCCTCTGTCCCTCTGGCTGCCCCCCAGAGCTGCCCCCAGACCATTTTGGGTGCATATAGGCAGGGTAAGGTCCCAGCACCCCCAAGGTGATGTCTTCAGCATTGCTTTTAGCCGCTGTGTCAGGCTCAGTTTCCATCTGTCCATGCAGAAGCAGGACTGAGCACAAGGCACAGGATTTGTCCCACCTGGAATATCCATGGGGACGGCAGGACGGAGTCAGGAAGGCTTGGGTACTTTGTCCCACGGTGTGGGTGACATTGGTGCGTGTCCTGCCTGTCCCTTACCGATCTCACTGGCTCAACAGCAATGCAGTTGTTCCCCCTGCCCACAGCTGCAGTTTTGAGAGGAGCTTGGAGACATTTAGCCCATCCCTCAGTGTGTTGGGTCCACAGGTGCATCCACACAGGCCAGCAGCATCAGGCAAGAGGCACCAGACCCCCCCACAAGCTGATGCTATGGAAACCAGCTCTCTCCCCATCCTCCCTCACAGCACCTGCACCCCAAATCGCTCATGACATTTCTACAGTGCCTTTCATCTCCAAGGGCTCCCTGCTGGGTGGGAAGCCCAGAAGCTCTTCCTCTCTGCACCCAGCATCAGGTTGGAGGAGCAGAGGGAGGGTACATCATCCATCTTCAGCCCTTCTGCTGGCAGGGAGGACATATGGGCATCTCTTGCACCTGGGGGCACCTGGTTGCTCCTGGCGCAGGCCTCCTGCTGCTGCTGCAGCCACCCCACTCTGACAGCCTGGCTGCCCCAGCATTGGCTCACCATGGCCACACACCCCTCCCCTGTGAGGCACCCTGTGCTCCCTCCATGCCAGCAGTGTCCCCTCCAGTAGTGAGTGCCATTGCTGCTCCCCAGTCTCTCCAGGAGGAAGGGCTACCCTGTTTGTTTTGGAAACCTCTTCTTAAATAAGCTAGATGAAGTGTATCTCATAAAACATTCATGTCACTATAATACTCAGGCCTAAGTGAATGGAATAGAAACCCTACAAAGAGCAAAACAAACACAGTAAAATGGTCACAGAGAGTATGTTGTGTTTACTAATGGAATTACATCAAAGGCAAGTTCAAATACAGGATCAAGTGACTTAGCTGACTTCAGCTGGCCCTGGTGCAGAGATAGTCTTATGTGCTAGACTGGGCATTCCCCAAAACCCCTTTACCCTGAGAGCCATGTCCTACCACATGTTGCCTCACTGTCTGTTGGTGCCTGCTTTGTAGAGCTCTCCATAAATCGTCAGGTCTTACCATTGTCTTCTCAGCAGCCCAAGCACCCACGGCACTGCGTTGCAGCCTGCCCAGGGCCACATGGGCTCAGTGCCATGGGGTGATGCTCAGGTATCAGGGCTGGCTCTCTCTGCAGTGCCAGGCCCAGCATTGGGACAGCACCTGAGCCTCCTCCCTTCCTGCCAGTGGTCTGATCTGTCTCAGCCAAACTGTTGAGGTGAACCTCCTGCCTGTCTCACCCTCTAGCCCTTCCCTCCCTGCAGTGCTGAGAATCTTGTCCCTCCCCAGGACACTGCCCACTGATCTGGCTTGTCAGTGACACCCATGTGCTGGCTCATCTTTGCTCTTCCCAACTCCAAAAACTTCACTCTCTGCCTGATAAAAGGCTGCCTTCCTGTGTCTGTGTGAGCACGCCTTGAAAGCCAAGTCTATTCCCAACCAAAGCCTGGCATGGGCTTTGAGTCTTTTTGCCAGCTGGAAGCAGAAATACCGGCATCCTTTGGTTAAAGACAACAAACCAAACAGAATTTCTAGTTTGGCTTCCAAGCAGGAAAGCATTTTGGGAAGATAGTTATAAATAAGTGGTTTAACATCTCCTGCCAGCAGACATCACAGAGAAGATAATGTTCTTTTTTTTAAAAAATCTGTCACTGACTCAAATCGGGACGTTTCCTTCCCAGTTTACATGAGGCTGCTGATGGAGGCTTCTTCTAAGTGCTTGCCAGGCCAGAACTAATCTAATATAAATTACTGGGGTTTACTGCTTGTTGTGATAGTATCTAAGGGCTTCATTTTTATAAGTGATTCTGTATACAAATACATCTGTATATGACCATTGATAGTCTAATCCACATTTGTGCAGAGTGGGCACTTCATTTTGCTGTGAACCTCAACACTCGAGTATTTCTTTTCTTCTGGCAAGGCCTGGAGTTTCCCTGACTTGGTAAGTCTCTCAGGCAAGAATGAGAAGGTTTTGAGGATGATAAAAATCATATGTTCAGTCTGTGCTCCTGTTTCGCAGCTTGCACCACCTGGGAAATACAC